CTCGCCCTCGTTCTCACGAGTTTGCTATCCGATCCCTTTGAGCCACTCGAATCAGTATCTCTAAGATTTCTGTCCCTGAAGACAGCTCTGCTGGTTGCGTTGGCCTCCATCAAGAGGGTCGGGGACCTGGAGGCATTTTCGGTCAGTGACTCGTGCCTGGAATTCGGGCCAAATTACTCTCACGTCATCCTGAGACCCCGCCCCGGTTATGTGCCCAAGGTTCCTACCACCCCCTTTAGAGATCAGGTAGTGAACCTGCAAGCGCTGCCCCCGGAGGAGGCAGACCCAGTCCTTTCTTTACTTTGTCCAGTTCGCGCTCTGCGCATTTATGTGGACCGTACTCAGAATTTTAGATCATCTGAGCAGCTCTTTGTCTGTTATGGTGGTCGGCAGCAGGGGAGTGCCGTATCGAAACAAAGATTATCCCACTGGATTGTGGATGCCATTTCACTCGCTTATTCGAGTGGAGGTCAACCGTGTCCCCCGGGAGTACGTGCACACTCCACTCGGAGCGTTGCATCCTCTTGGGCGCGTGCACGCAGCGCCTCTCTAACAGACATCTGTAGAGCTGCGGGCTGGGCGACACCCAACACATTTGCAAGGTTTTACAATCTGCGAGTGGAGCCGGTTTCCTCAAGGGTATTAGGTAACCCTTTGGTGATTGAGGAAACAACTCGGTGGGGTGTTGAAACACGCTTGCTGCGCCATTTTCCCTAACACGGAGGTACGTGCGCCTTTTTATCTGTCAGTAAAGTTCCCCGTCAGGTGAGCCCTGCAGATTCCTCCGTGGCCCCCAGCACTGACTCAGCGGAGGAGTCACTTGCTGGCCCACTACGTTGTAGGTCTGCCCGCTGGTCAGCCCGCGTTTTGGGTATAGGTGCCTGCTATGCGTGATCCCCACTAGGCGATCCCATATGCTTATTCCGCCACGGTTAAGTCCCCCTCCTGGGCGGACCCGTGTCTTCCCTCTCCGCTAACCACTCTTTTGCTATGCGTACTCCCCCTTTTTAGGGCTAGTCCATATGTAAATTCTGCCATCTATCCCCCCCTTGGGTAACGTATGGCCTCCGCAGCATCCTCCCTATCGGCATTGCACGCTTCCCAACGTACTGTCGTATTTCCTAGAATTATCTAGATGCTCACGACTTCCCAAAAAATATATCTAAATCCGTAAAACTTCTGTTGAAGTAGGATAAATTAGGGCCAGGGACACATTGGAGGACCGCGCCTCCCATGATGTGGGTGGGTCACGCTTGCTTGACTATCCCCTCATCGGGGGCGTTGGTAAGGTGCAGTCATTATGGCGCTTTCCATACTTCTCCCATTCGTTCATTCAATTAATCCACTCTATGGCACTGAAGTTCCCCAACCGAAGGGGAACGTTCGAGGTTACAGAAGTAACCCTTCGTTCCCCAAGGAGGGGAACGGAAGTGCCATACTCCGTCGCCATAATGACTGTCCCTTAGCTGTTTGAAAGTCTCTTCAGCTTAAAGGATAGCGTCTGCTGGCTTCAGGTGCGCTTATCTGCTGGGATAATTGCCGATGCAGCGCACCTGCGCAAGCTTACGCTGCCAATTAATTTCATTCACTGGCCCGTTCAATAACTCTCCAGACAAGCAGCTTCTGATCCGAATCTCCCATTCGTGGATTCAATTAATCCACTCTATGGCACTTCCGTTCCCCTCCTCGGGGAACGAAGGGTTACTTCTGTAACCTCGAACGTTTTGTCATGATGGAGAAAGCAGGCAATGAAAAAAATAGACTACATTAAGCTATTCTTAAGTCAAAAAAAGAACAAAATCCACTTGCAAATGATTCCACGTGAACTTGGTACAGTATGGCACAATTAAAAACCATTCTTGGCATGCATTTCTCAGCCATGCTACACCGGTACAGCATGTATGTGCATGGCATCTACACTCTGTTGACCTACTGTTAGTTTCTCTATGTGAAAGCACACTATTTTTATGTATTTTTAAAACTAATTAAATAACGCTCTGTTTATAGCAACACTATTTTAAAATGAAGCTGGATCTGTAGTGACTGGCCTGGATCGGCATAGATTAGACTAGTTAAGTAAAAATAAGTATTGACCCTCTATTGGAAAAGGGCTAACAATCACAAATCTTAAAAAAAAAAAATCACAATCTATGTTATGACATTATATACAGAAAGTCAACAGAGGTCATTGTAGTCAACAATGAGTAACTAAACAGGACACAGGTGAGCAAAATAATCGATTACTATTGAAACACTGCATTGTTTTTTGATTAATGTCTAAAACACATAAAAACATTTCTGTTTGTGAATAAAACCACTGTTGTTCAAATGACTCCCTTAGTTTTGTTACTGTGAAACATATATGAAGATTGTTGCACAAAATGGCAATAAGTCTAAACTCTAAAGGTCTGTGGATATGCAGTGTGGTCTGAACAGGCAGCCAAGCACACTGAGCACTTTTAAAGGGAGTCCGCATGAGGGGGAGAGTTATCAGTTGAAGCCTGCGGTGAAGCTTCATATCTGTAAGCAGTGAAGTTGCATCTGCATTCGTTGCAGTGAAATGACTGCTGCTCTTATCGAAATAAGCTCTCGGTGTGAGAATATTCTCAGTGTTTTCTGAAGCCAGGAGCCACTCACAGCCCATTTTACTGCTTTAGCAGACTGACCTGTAGTTGCACGCCGTGTCTGGTAAGCCGTTTGGAGTAAATACGATGTTTACTCATTTAATAGTGATTTTCTCTGAAGGCAGTCTCTCTGATCTAGCCCTGTCCTGTTGCAGACTGTTTTGAAATGCCTGAAATTTTCATGAGCAGGCTATTAAAATGTTTCTGCCTAAAAAGTCAGACTTGTCTACCACAGAAAAACCCACGCAAGTGTGTGTACATATTTTACATCGCTTAAGCAAGAGGTGGCTTTAAAATAAACCCTCGGATATTGAACTGCTCTCTGAAAAAAGCTCTCTGGATTTCATTAACAGCACACTGATTTATTTTTTTTTTTTATATTTATGCAAGACTTCCGTAACCTTGAAATGTTCTTTCAGAGGATCAAGGCCATTTTACACTTGACTTGTTCAAGGATAGCATCTTCAATGTTAGAAATTTAAGAGATAGTTCACCCACAACTGAAAATTATCATCGTTTCCTCAGCCTTGTTCCAAACCTGTTTGACTTTTTTATTCTGTTGAAAACAAAGGATGTTTTGTAAAAAGATGGAAACCTGTGACCATAGACTTTCATAGCATTTGTTTTTAACATAGGCTCATTCTAAAAACGTATCCCGATATACATTTCTGGAGATTGCAAATTATGTAGCAAGAAGTATGTATGGCTGCTGTTCTTTTTTACCACAATGCGATGCAGTATGACGCTGTTCCTTTTTTCGTGTTTATTAGCTGATCTCTTACGTCCGTATGGGTGGCTTACCTACTATTACCAGTTTGTTCAGTTATCTCGCCATGAACGTCAGCGGACTTTAAACACAGAGAGGAGTTGAACATGACAATGGGGTTCAAGTTTAATGTGGAATGGTTCCAGAAAGCAGGTAAGATGAAAACTGAATTCAAAAAATAAAATAAACAAGTAAATAACAGAGTGAGATGTGGTAAAATCTGAAAACGTGGTAAAATTATGGCGAGCACTTTTCTTTTTTGTTTGGCTTTTTTAAAACTGTAGGTTGGGTTCAGGAAAGTGGGTGGGCGGGTCAATCTGTGCTTTTAAAAACACACAAAATTGATTGCATTTTGTCATTCAATCAGTCAAACAGTCAGTCGACAGTGGACTCTAGTGGATTTACCTGAGAACTGCAGGCACAAATTGCACTCTCAAGAGAAATTTGAGATCTAAAAAAGCGTACACAGCAGCCTCCGATTCGCAAAAACTGCAAAAAAAAGTTCCTCCTGGGGTGTATTTGGTGCTTTCCAGGAATGTATAAAGAGGTATGTTTTCAGAATGAGCCTGGGTTGTTTGTTTTTCCTGCATACAGGTTTTTTAGTTTGTTGAACGGAATAAAGAAACTTTTTGGCACCACTAGGGGGGAAGAAAATAGTGAGTAAATTTTCATTCTCCATTAGTGCTGACAAACATATTCTAGATTTTATAAAGAATCAAATTCTTCTTTTAGTTCTGAAGATAATGTTTTAAAATGTTTATATATATATATATATATATATATATATATATATATATATATATATATATATATATATATATATATATATATATATAGTATATATAATGTTGATTGTATCAAAGCAGCTTAACATAGATTTTCTAGTAAATTGAAACTGTGTCAGCCCAGTTTTTAGAGTTAAAGTTCAGTTTAGTTCAGTTTACTTTTCACTGCTGAAAGTCCAAACACTGAAAAGCAAATCCATCGATGCACAGCTCCACAAGTCCCAAAGCAAGCAAGCCAGTGGAGAGGAACAGAACTTCACCATCTGAAAACCAGGTTGGAGGCTGAAAATACTTAGATATACAGATATATACAATCAAGCTGTGAAATTCTGACTGCTATTTTTTGTTTAAAGGTAAATAAAAGCTGAGCAATCATCTTTTTTATAGTCTAATTTGGGAGAAACCAGTCATTTCCTGGTCAAAAAATAATTATCTTGCCGGTTGAAGATATACTGTAGATCTTTACCCCACAACTCTAATTATAACTTAAAAACAGCAACCATGCAAACTAACTTTAACGGTGTAAAACGTCCTTGGCTGTCGCTTCTTGGCCATGCTTAATAAACAATTAATGGTAAAAGAGTAGTGAGGTCCTGCTGGGATGTTATTTAATTCACCCAGGGTTGTTTTTCAGCTTTATATAGACCAGCCACTTTTACTAATACGCCAAGCACCTGTTTGCATTATTTATGGACCACTGGTTCCCACCTGATTTGGTTTTGAATTCGTCCTCTCTGTTTATCTTTTAACATGATTTCCATTGCACCTCTCCCGACTCTCCTGTTCTTTTGTGTACATACGTGTGTCTTTTTTTCTCACCCTCTTAGGTGAAGTACGGACGTTTTGCATTTGTGTGGGATGCAGCTGTGCTGGAGTATGTGGCCATTAATGACGAGGACTGTTCGCTTTACACCGTGAGCAACAATGTGGCTGACAGAGGCTACGGCATGGCGATGCAGCACGGCAGTCCTTACAGAGACATCTTCTCTCAGAGGTACTGTGCGATGAGAGTCTTATTATCCATATGTAGCCGTTCGTCTCTGGGGCCCTGCTGTTATAGGAGGAGTGATTTTTCAAAGGAAAGTTCCATTTAAATGTGGCATTTAAAGTCTTGAGTTTGTGATTTAAAATCAATTTCTCACATAACAGAGAGCGGGAATGCTTGTAACGCAGACTGAGGTGTAATACAGTCAGTTTAACCACCTAGAAAGCAGGTTCTCTGATAAAAAAAAGTGTCTCACTCAGCAGTTGTAGAAATGTCTGAGCTCTCATTTTAAGAAACTCCTTTTTCTATTTCGAGATGGAATCTTGGTCATTAAATGGCAGAATTGGCATAGTCTGATTGGATTCTTTTGGTTAATTTATTGGTGTATTTAAAAGGGTCGCTATAAGCAAAGGTTTAATTAAGCATTTTTACAAGATTGAGATGTTCCCAGAATGTAAGCCCATGTTGTTCTGTTGCAGTATTTGTTCATTATTAATGTAACTAGTCTGTAGCTTAGAATTATTAGTATTTGTTTTAATAATTAAATGTTTATTTTAAAAGCTTAAAGTACATTTTTTATTTATTTATTTATTTATTTATTATTTTAAATCCTTAAAATCAAGTGGTTGGAGCTGTTGTAAGGCATGAAGTTATTACATTTTATTTTTATAAAAATATATGATCCATAAATGATGGGTTCAGAGGCAAAACTAAGTGCTAACTGAAATTCATTCATTTATTTTCCTTCAGCTTAGTCCCTTATTTATCAGGAGTCACCACAGCAAACTGAACCGCCAACTATTCCATGCGGTTATAGTTATGTTTTATGTTTTACATAAAATACATGTTTTACACAGCGGATGCTGTATTCTATTTCTAACCCAGTACTGGGAAACATCCATACACTCTTGCATTCCCACACACACACACTTCCCACTATCCAAGATTTTTGTCTAGAATTTGCATTATTCTCAGGCTCTAATGTTTAAGTTGTTATTTCCTGTTAAAGGCAATGGAAATAAAATATTCTTTGTCATAAATATCAAACAACTGAACCTATAGACATGAGCCTGAGAAAAATGCTCATTTTAAATGAAGATTTTAGATGGCACTTAGGGTACGTTCACACTGCAAGGCTTAGATTTTTTTTTTTTTCTCAGATCAGATTTTTTTTTTGCATGACTGTTCACATTATTGTTATAAATGTGGCCAATATCAGATTTTGCTGTGTGAACAGATCATGGTCCTAAACTGACCCGCATGAATAAAAGTACATTATTCCCCTTTTCACAGACAACCACAGTGTATTTTAATTGTATTAACTGTAAATGGTTGTCCTGCTACTACTAATGTGTATTCTGGCATTTGAATCCTAAAATAAGTCTCTTGTGATTGAAACCACTGATAATTTGTGATTTATGACAACCGCAGTGCACGTCTTTCTGACCACTGGTGAACTCATTAAGGGTTGATAAGCAGCTGCGAACTGAACTGTGAAGGCAGAGTTGGTTTATCTGTGTTTGCAGAGTTATTTAATTTTACTTTGTTATAAACAACAAGCACATGCAGAACAGGGGTTTGGGTGATTGAGCACCTGCCCTTTTTTAGGAGAGAAAGTTCCCCTAAATAAAACTGTACCCTCCTATGCGCACAGATCCCCTATCCGCAACACAGCTCGGTGTTCTTCAGCTTCACGACCAACCCGTGCCCCAATCGTTAACCAGATTGGTCAACAAGCACCAGTTTTGCTTTCAATTTTTTTTTCAAAATAAACAATAAACTATCTGTGCTAAAGTTATTGCCCTGGGTGCTATTCTACTATGCTGCTGAGAAGATGATGTTTTCAGCACAGAATGATGACGCATGTCGCTCAAAGATTATGTAAAAGTCACATGAAGTCCTACATAATCGTTCACACTGTGGTCGGATTGCAAAATATCAGATCTGTGTTTGATTTAATACCACATATGAAAGTGGCACAAATTTGAATTAAAATGATGAGATTCCCTGCGATTTTGGCTGTTCACACTGTCATTACCTGAGTATAAAAATAGATTTGGGCCACATTTGGCTGCAGAGTGAATGTAGCATTAGATAGCTTTTCCATCTGAACTCTTCAAATATAGAAGTTATTGAAAAATACATTTGCAAAATTTTAACTGAAGTTGATATTTTCTAATAACGTGTTAAAGCCTCATATAAAAATGAACTGTATGGATCATCAATCAGCAATCCACATTATACTTGACATTAATATGCATAACATAGGCTTATATCGGAGAGTTTACATTACTTCCATTTGTGGCAGACAACAAAATGTCAGTGTTCAAGATAACAGTTTAAAATAAATGTGTTCCAATCAGCCACCGCTTCCCCTGCTAAAATTCTCAAAATTACCAGGTCTTTTTTTTTCTTACTTTTTGCTGGAAAATGACCCACATAGTTTATTTGTATGTACTACAGTGCATGTGCTAAGCAGTGTGTTGCCTGAAATCCACTGGAGGTTTCCCATTGAAATAAAAAAAGCTATTAATTGACTTCCATTTTAAATGTTTCCCCTGTCATTGTTGAGCCGTGGACCACCATCAACTCCAATTTGAACAGAGCAATTGAAAAAAGTTTTCCTGCAGTTCCTGAATCAATACCAAGGAAATTATACCACAAAAAAAATAAAAAAAAAAAATTTAAAATGTAAAAAATATTATTTGAGAGGCGTTTTTAAAAGCTTTTCAGATTTAACCAGTCAATGGAGCTCAACTCTTCAACTGAAAGGACAAACTCGTTTACCTTATATCTGGAGTTCAAACATATCAACATATGATTCTTAATGGCAAGAACATGTTGTTCTGCTCCACTGTTACAATACGTGGAGCTGAATAGAGATCCACACCTTGTTAAATCGCTCACTCGGAGTGAAATTGGTATATTGAAATGGCAGTATTGTGACAGACTGAGAAAAATATGATAGCATGGAGTGATGGTCCTATTGTTGAAGTAAAAGTCGATATATGCTCTGCGTTTACTCGTGGCCGGGAGTCTAAAGAGAGAAGATGTGAGTACAGTAGCTCAACACAGCCAGCATAAAGCTTGAGAAAAGCAGACTACTGAGAGAAGACAAAGAGAGAAAATAACTGTTAAATAATAGCATATATTCAAAGTGCACCATAATCACTTACATTGTCCTATAGTTCTCTCTAAAATCCTGTTTTAGAGAGTTTTTTTTTTTTTTTTCAAAACTCTTACAGTTATAAGCCACAAATCAACTTGTTCTACACTGTAAAAAAAAAAATATCCCTAAATTAGCAGTTTTCCGTATTTTTTTATTTTTTATTATTCATTAATTTTCTTTTCAGCTTAGTCCCTTTATTAATCAGGGGTCACCGCAGTGGAATGAACCGCCAACTTATCCAGCATATGTTTTACACAGCAGATTCCCTTCCAGCTGGGAAACATCCATACACACTTATTCACATTCACACACTGCGGAGAGTTTTAGCCTACCCAATTCACCTATAGCGCATGTGAGGAAACCCACACGAACATGGGGAGAACATGCAAACTTCATATAAAAAGGCCAACTGACCCAGCCAGGGCTCGAACCTTCCTGCTGTAAGGCGACAGCGCTACACACTGCGCCACCGCGTCCCCCTCCATATTTTGTGATTCATGTTTTTACTCTTATTTACCCCTATTATTTATGCTTTTGAATTGCATTATGGGACATTAATGTGTCTTCCAACAACTTTTAACTTTGAAAAGGTCCAAAAAGTTACTTTTATTAAAAAAAAAGGATTATTTAAAGTGATATAATGTCTGGGTTTGTGTTTTATATTACATTGCAATATATCCTTGTAATAAACTGCCCACACAGTTACTGTTATTTTATAGACTGATTTCTCTATATATTATTTTTTACACATAATATTATTTTAGACTGCTAAAATATCAATAAAAGTTACTGTCTTAAGTCGACAGAGCACAGGTCTAGGTCCCATCATGCAATTCACAATGGTAAAAAAAATTTGAAAACACTTCTAAGCACAAAATACAGAAACTGTTAATTAACAGATCATTTTTACAATGTATCTGCTGTTTCTATAGAACTAAATGTTTTTTTGTGTCAAGAGGCTGCACAGATTTGTAATGAAAACTGGTAACCTGTAAAACTATTTATCAGGAGTGGTCAATATTTATCATCAGCTTTTTTTATGTTGTGTGAGGCAATATTATTAATTTTGTGACTTAAATCCTCATGAATAATGGTATTCTGAATCCTTTTCAAAAATGTACTACTACACTTTAAGTACCTATTTAGACTTCTTTTAAAATGCCAATATCTGTTTGTTAAGTCACTTGTTAAGTGATGTATGGAATACTGTTTCCTGGTTCAAGCTGCTACTCATCCACTGTATGGCCATTTTTAGTCCTATCACACATTAAAGTGAATTTTATATTAAATAATGGTGTACACAACAGTCTCTGGACTTGCTGCATCACAAATGTGTAAAAAATTAATCACTTTCTGGCCATCTGATTTTAGGCATTGATATGTGTTGCGATCGTGATTTTCCAAAGTATTAAATCACTTTGTACACGTCTGCTATTACCTTTTCAGTCCTGCCACACTGTAAAAAATAAAAAGTTGAGTCTACTTAAAAAATTAAAGCAACTGGCTGCAAAGAAGTGTTCAGTTTAATAAGCTTTAGTGGTTGAAGTTGTGGCAAATTATTTTTTTAAGTTGACTGACAAGGCTATTTTAAGTCAAGTATACTTAAATATTATATGGAATATTAATTATATTAATATCACTGAATATTAATAAAACTCATTTTTTGCAGCCAGTTGCTTTAGAATTTTAAGTTTACTCAACTTCTTATTTTTTACAGTGGTAAACACTCAAATTAAGAAATCAAAATTCAAAGTCTTCTCCACTGATTTTTTTACTTTCATTGAACAAACAGTTCCAAACATGCAATTAAATCGTTTTTTATGAGTAAATTCAACTCTGA